AGATGCTCATCTCCTCCAGTGCTCACCTCCCCAGGTGCTCATCTCCTCCAGTGCTCACCTCCCCAGGTGCTCACCTCCCCAGGTGCTCATCTCCCCAAATGCTCATTTCCACTTGATCCTCATCTCCCCAAATGCTCATCTCCCCTAGGTGCTCATCTCCCCAGGTGTTTACCTCCCCGGGTGCTCAACTCTCCGGGTGCTCACTTCCCTAGTTGCTCACCTCTCTGGGTGCTCATCTCTCCAGGTGTTTACCTCCTCAGGTGCTTACCTCCCCAGGTGCTCATTTCCCCCAGGTGTTCACCTCCCCAGGTGCTCATATTCTTTACCCTTGGAAGTTTCAACCGCACTCAGATGTCGAGTCTCCTGGCCCTATATCTCTTCCACCTTGTGTGTTAACGTGACTGATAATCTAGCCCTATTAGCAGTAAAAACTAGTAGCATCTAAGTGCTCCCCCAGTACCTCTTACCATCCCAGGTCCCCCACTATTGTTACATAAATGCAAGGCGCTCACAGTGACCCATGGTACTGAAACTTCAGGACCCAGGGGGCAAGCCTAGAGTGCAGGGAGGGGCCAGAAAACAGGTCCCCCTCCTGCCAGGCCCCTCTGTAGGAAAGTGCCATGTTGGCACAACCCCCTTGCTTAGGGATGCTGGGAGTGTCCGGTGCCACCCACTGCCCCGAAGAAGCTGCTCCCATCCCCCCAGGCCTCCATCCGCGTGTCTGCTCCACTAGTTCCTGTCCTTACTGAGCACAGCCAAGCTGGCTACTTCCTGCCACTGTCACCTGCTGAGATGGGGCCACACCAGAGGCCATGGGGCTGGCCCACTCAGTGGGGGGCCACTGTTGTCCTGCCTGCCCTTGGTGGGAGGGGTCCTCGTGGAAGTTGTTGAAGGACCTGAGCCCAGAGCTTCATCTCTGAGAGAAGGGTCACTTCTGCGTCATCACCCTTCACCCTGTGGGCTTCCCCACTTCCTGGACAAGGAAAGATTGTTAGGAAGGTGTAGGGTGCCTTGAGCCCAGGTCTGTCTCCAGGTCACACTCGGGAAACGAGGCTGAAACAGGGTCCTGACCTGTGCAAAAGGCCCTACCGCGGGCTCACTGTATTCTGAGTGCTGCCTAATATTGGCTTATGTGCGGCTGCGGGCACTTATGAAGGCAGGTGCCTGACGTGGTGGGCACAGAAGTCACCTGTGCCCCACCCCTGCAGCCATGGCAAAGGTCAGCCTATCTGCTGAGCCCCACTGTGCCCTGGGCCATGGCAGAACAGAGCTGTGCGGCTTTGGGCCAGCGATGGAGAGGAGGGCACCATGATAGTCCCCTGGGCCTGAACTGGACTGAGGGAGGTTATGGGGCCTGGGCAGTCAGCTGCCTTGGGGTCTGGAGGCCATCAGAAGCCAGGTCAGGGTTTGGGGAATTGGGTGGGGCCTCTGAGGGTCCAGATGGCTGCTATGGGTGGCTTGCACGAGTGGTGGCATGATTCTACCTGAGCATCTGGGTGGGGCCATGGTTAGGTTTTGACAATGTAGTTTGTGGTGACAAGGACACAGCCACATGCGGGATGCTGGGGCAGCTCCTGGTCAGTGTGCCCTGGACGCCGCCCTGGTTGTTACTGAACTGTGGTTGGTGACGTTGGCTGTCCCTAGAGCAGTGAGTCTGGCCGCAGGCCCTCTGTCTGGCTGTGCCCACCATGGGGACCAGCTGGACCCAGACACCTCTTTGGCTCCTCTTGCAGCTGATGAAGAGGCCCCTGATTACGGCTCTGGTGTCCGCCAGTCAGGAACCGCTAAAATCTCCTTTGACGACCAGCATTTCGAGAAGGTACAGGGCACTGTTCTCCCCACGCAGCTGGGGACACCGCCAACCCCTGGAGGGCATCCTGGTGCTCCCCTCCTGTCCCCAAGCACCGGCCTGTCCTGTCTCTTGCTTTCTGCGACCTGCAGTGCCCCTTCCTGGCTTCTGGCCTCTCCTGGGTCCTGTGCAGCAGAGCACAGAGTGGGGGTGGGGACGAGCTTCCGGAAGACAGCCCGGTGTCCCTCTCTTGAGTGGCACACTGGGTTTCCCACTGCCCCCTCACCTGCCTCCCCAGCCCTAACCTAAAGAATGAGGGAGGCCCCACAGAGGCCACCACCTCCAGCCTCAGAGAAGGAGCAGACCCAAGGCGCCCTCTTCTGCCCTCTGGAGAGAGAGAGGAGGGGACGGTCCCTTGTGATGACCAGGCTCAGGGCTGTGTCTTTTCCTTAGACACTCTTCTAGCCTGTGCCCACCTGGCTACCTGTCACCAGGAGCCTCACAACTCCGCACCCTGAGCAGGGTGCACGTGACCCTACCGCTTCCCCCTCTTAGAGGGGTGTCAGTGCCAGGAATGCCCAGGAACGGGTGGTTACCTGTGTCCTGCCCACGGGAGGGCCCCGGCTGCAAGAGGACGCTCCCTTCCCCATTCCCCAAAGCCCGCCTCCTGTTCTTCCCAAGGGTTAATCGGCTGCAGTCAGGGGTGGCCGCTCACAGCGGGGGCGGGGACAGGCTGTGGCCGGGTCCGGGTCCGCAGCAGGGGCAGGTCAGGAGCACGGGTCCCTGCAGGCCCTGGCCCAGGGCTGCACACCCTCCTGTGGGGTGCGACGGGCCGGGATGGCCCACCTGGCCAGCTCCCAGCTCCCCGTCTCTGACTCTGCACCCTGCACAGTTTCAGTCTGAGTCCTGCCCCGGGGTGGGGATGGCTCGCTCGGGGACCTCTCAGGAAGAGCTGCGCATTGTGGAGGGCCAGGGCCAGGGCGCAGATGCAGGGCCCTCGGCCGACGAGGTGAACAACAATACCTGCTCAGGTAGGTCCCCTCAGGGGTACCAAGCCTGGCTGCCAGCCCCGCCATGTGGCCGCAGAACAGCCTGGAGACCCTGTGGCTCCCCCGACTCCCAGCAGCAGTGCCCCCAGAAGGTCTCCTGCTGGACAGCCCTGAGAAAGCCGTCCTGGATGGGCCCCTGGACGCTGCCCTGGACCACCTCCGCCTGGGCAGCACCTTCACCTTCCGTGTGACCGTCCTGCAGGCCTCCAGCATCTCTGCCGAATACGCCGACATCTTCTGCCAGTTTAAGTGAGCCCTGCCCTCTACCCCCCCCAGACTGCCCTGCCCTCTACCCCCCCCCCCCCGCCCCCCCCTCCCCCCCCAGCCTCTCCTCCCCTCTGCCCCCAGACCGTCCTGCCCTCCGCCCCCAGGCTGTCCTGCCCTCTGTCCCCAGACTGTCCTGCCCTCTGTCCCCAGGCTGTCCTGCCCTCTGTCCCCAG